TCAGAATAAGTGCTGAAAAGCCAAACAACTGAATATGAACCTGTTATATAGATTCTTTTCTTTCGCTGAGGCAAAGGGAGAAAAAAAAAAAAGAATTTCAAAAGAAATCTGCAAACCTGTTGTGCTGTCGGGCCCACTGGAATCCACGGGGGTGAAACAAATTCAATTATGCTTTTATAGATCCTGCTCAAGAAAAGGTTTCAACTGCTTAACCAAGTACAGTTCATTCTTCCACCTTCTTACTCTGCAACCAAACCAAGTGCCCCACACTGCAGGTAGGAGCCGAGAAATTCCGCAGCCTGAAAAAATAATCCATGCAGGTCAAAGGCAGAAACTTACTCCAAGGTTAGAGCTACTGTCCCCAAGAACTCTAAAAACACTTAGAGAGGATCCAAAACCATTTCTGAAATCTCCTTTCTAACAAAAGTCCTTTTTCTCCCCAAACCGCATATAAAAATGATGAGATCTTGAAAGAGCAAAGAAGCAAATACATCAGCAACAATTCACTACCAGGAACACAGACAATCCCAAAGGGAGAAGGCAAGGTCTCTGAATCATGGACAGACTTGGAAAGTTCGGAAGGATTCGAGTGCTTCCCTTCCAGAAAGACAATTCTGGATCAGCTCCCTAGAGGAGGAAGCCTGTGGTTTGTAATTGGTGTTCTAGCTCGGACTCCCTCCCCTGGGACTGCAATCACGCTCTCTACCTGCTGACACAAAGTGAGGGTGGAGCAGCCAGAGGCAGCCGCCCCGTCCCGCCCCCTCCTCCTGGCTGCCTGGGGCACGGTGCGCGCACACTGCACCAGACACGTTCCTGAGCTCGCCCTTCTCTCGGCTCCCCAACTCCCTCTATTGAGCCACAGCCAAACTGCACCCAGTCCAGTCCTCGCTACCTTTCTCTGAGTAAGCAAGCTCCCACATGTAAATCAAGGCCACATGAACAGATAGGTAAGCAGATTCTGCACCCAGGAGAGAGAGATGGCGGGATGAGGAAATAAAGACCAAAAAAAAAAGGAAACCCAGAAGATAAAATAATGGACACAACGTTCTGCAAATGTAAGTTCAAAGGGATTTCTGCTCTTCAGGGTTTTAGTGTCTATAAAGGCCACAAAGCCAGAATAATGTGATCCTGTGCTGTAGTTCTGATTTATTGCTGTCTTAAGTCAGCTACCCTGGCAAGAATTCTGTCCATTTTATGCAGTTTTTCTTCAGCTCTTGCAAATTTAAATTCAGTAGCTCTTTTCTAAACTGTGCCTGTACCAAGCTTTTACGTTAGGTGATGTCAGAGGGCTGGAATCTGTTATTTTCTTCTTACATCCCTGGGATGTGAAATAATACTGTGGATCACACCTGGGCCTTCAATGTGAGACTGAAAGTAAGTCTATATCATAAATACAAGTAAAGGGGTAAATATATATGCTTAATAAGAATGTAGGCAAAAAGAAAACTAATTTTTGGTTAATAACCACATTTGAGAAAAATGATCCTTCTAGTAACTTTTACCACACTTGTGAATACGTTACCTTCTAGTAACGTTCTTTAGAAAGAATACAAAAGTTTTTGATGTATGTTTCTAAAAGTTGAATTTTCAAAATGACCAGATTGTATTTGACTGTGGTCAGACATTTTATTTTTAACCTGATGCCAAATAATCTTTCCAAATTGTACAAATGAACAATGATGTGAATACGATTAACATTACACTTAAAAAAGGTTAAGATTTATGCTACATGCTTATTGTGGTAAAAAGCACATTTTAAATTGTGGCAAGAAGCACATAAAATTTAAGACAATTTCTAACTTGTACAAAATAATTGTGCAAATTCATCATCTTTAAAATGTGGAGAATAACTGCATTGTAGGTTTCTTGTGAAGATTAAATGACATAATGCCTTTGAAGGCAAAAGGTATGAATGACCTGGTCGCCTTGAGAATTTTATCCCTAAAGAGGGTTTACAGTCTAATTTGAAAAGATACATTTACCCCAATGTTCACAGCAGCTCCACTTACAACAGCCAAGACATGGAAGCAGCCTAAATGTCCATCAACAGGTAAATGGATAAAGAAGATGAGGTACATTTATACAATGGAATATTACTCGGCCAATAAAAAAGAATGAAACAATGCCATTTACAGCAACATAGATGGACCTAGAGAATATCATACCAAGTGAAGCAAGCCAGACAAAGACAAATATCAGATGATATCACTCATATGTGGAATCTACAGTATGACACAAATGAACTTACTTACAAAACAGAGACTCGCAGACATGGAAAACAAACTTACGGTTATCAAAGGGGGAAGTGGTGGAGGAGAGTGAATCAGGGAGTCTGGGCTCAGCAGACAAGACGACTGTGTGTAAAACAAACAACAAAGGCCTGTATCTTGGAATAAACTATAATAGAAAAGAAGCTGAGCTTTTCCCTCCATGGTTTCTCTCCGCTCCCGCGAGTAACTTGGCTCCGGGGGCTCCGCTCTCCTGCCCGCACGCCGCCCGCCACCCAGAACCGTGCCGTCAGCCTCTGCCTGGAGCAGACCCCTTCCGACGGCCCTTGCTGTGCAGGCGGGGATGCCTCTCCCTCCTCCGCCCCCGCCGCGTAAAGTTAAGTTTGAAGAGGGGGGAAGAGACAGAAACATGGACATGAAGAGGAGGATCCACCTGGAGCTGAGGAACCGGACCCCGGCAGCTGTTTAAGAACTTGTCCTGGACAATTGCAAATCAAATGATGGGAAAATTGAGGGCTTAACAGCTGAATTTGTGAACTTAGAGTTCCTCAGTTTAATAAATGTAGGCTTGATTTCAGTTTCAAATCTTCCCAAACTACCTAAATTGAAAAAGCTTGATCTCAGTGACAATAGAATCTGTGGAGGTCTGGATATGTTAGCAGAAAAACTTCCACATCTTACACATCTAAACTTAAGTGGAAATAAACTGAAAGGTATCAGCACCCTGGAACCTTTGAAAAAGTCGGAATGTCTCAAGAGCCTGGATCTGTTTAACTGTGAGGTTACTAACCTGAATAACTACCGAGAGAGTGTCTTCAAGCTCCTGCCCCAGCTGACCTATCTGGATGGCTATGATCGAGAGGATCGTGAAGCCCCAGATTCAGATGCCGAGGTGGATGGTGTGGACGAAGAAGAGGATGATGAGGAAGGAGAAAATGAGGATAAGGAGGAGGATGAAGACGGTGAGGAAGAAGAGTTTGATGATGAAGAGGATGACAATGAAGATGAAGGTGTAGAAGGGGAGGAGGGAAGATGAAGTCAGTGGGGAGGAAGAAGAATTTGGACAAGATGGAGAAGTTGATGAAGATGATGAGGATGAGGATGAGGATGAAGAGGAAGAAAGCAGGAAAGGTGAAAAGAGGAAGAGAGAAACAGATGATGAAGGAGAAGATGATTAATAAGACCCCAGTAACCTGCAAAAAAAAAGAACTGTTCAGTATTGGTTGGACTGCTGACATGGATTTGGTAGCTGTTTTTTTTTTTTTTTTTAAAAAAAAAAAAAAAAAAGGTAGCTGTGATACAAACCCCAGGACACCCACCCACCCAAAGAGCCAAAGAATAGTTCCTGTGACATTCCACCTTCCTCCATTTAGTCCCTCTTGGAAATCCACCACCAACCTTGGGGACTTCACCCCAACAAAATTGTAAGCATTGTTAGGTTTTTGTGTAAGACTTGCTGTAGCGTGGATAGCTGTGATTGGTGAGTCAACTGTCTGTGGCTACCAGTTACACCAAGATTGTAAGAGCATTTTTACTTTCTGTACAACAAAGAAGCTTTGTAAAGAAAATCTTAACATTTAAAAAAAAAAGAATCTGAAAAAAAATGGGTGTATATATATGTGTGTGTGTATATATATATGTATGTATGAGTCAGTTTGTTGCACACTGAAACTAGCACATTGTAATTCAATTATATTTCAATTAAAAATTTAATAAATTTTTAAAGAGGGTTTATGGGGATAGTTTTGGCATTTTAGGCCTAATAACACCTAAAGCTGAGAGATAAATTCTAAAGTAAATTCTTAATTGAGCACTTTTTCTTTATTGGTTGGACCATAAGAACATAATGCAAATATAGACCTTTTATAGCTCCTTTCCTAAAGAACAGGAATAGATCTAATTCTTCTGGAGGGAATTTTTTTAAAGTCTGCTATGGTTTTATGTTTTTATGTATTCCATATAAAAGTATAACAAAAAATTTTAAATATACATTATTACATATCTGATATATGCAAAAACACCTTTAAACTTTAAACAAACAGTAACCTACTGATTGATTTGGCCTACCTATTCCTGCTTGAAACTTGCAAAGGAATTAAGATACCCAACCTAAAAGGCTTAATATGGATACCTAGTTGAAAGGAAAAAAATACAGATGTGGTTGCTCTCTCTTGAGGAAACCCTGAGATCTGAGAATGACGATAATAGGTATCATGAGGCTGGGTACCTTGAGCTACTCGGGATCAAACCAAACAGCTCTATAGGGCTTAGTTCACTGATATATTGTGCTTATTTACACAGTATTGACAAGAAAAGTCAGCAGAATTGATAAGCAAGAGAAATTATTCTCTGGCTTCAAAGTTTTGGAGTCGTCCCTGGGCGATTTTAACTTCCACAGAGATGGCATAGAGATGGCGTCACTGCAGTGATGAAGGGCCCACACTGACGCCTACTACCAGCCTTCCACAGGAGACAGATCACTTCAGGATCTACCTTCACATCTGTGCTGACTAAAGTTACTGAAGACTTCGGTTCTTTCCCCAGACCTAGGTTTCTATAAGCATGTCTAAGAACTGTCCTTATCCTCAATGGCCTTTTAAGGATTCAATCTCTATTCAAGTGTAAATGAAGAAAACTCAGGACTTTTTAAGTCGGATTTTTTGAAAAACAGAGCACATTTCCTTTTGAACTTTACTAATATGATTACCAGTCATGACGAATGAGGTTTCTATTGATCACCAATTCAATAGTAAAAACAAGCAAGACAACAAGTCTAGTTGAAACACTCACTTTATTGTTGACTGATTGAAATTTATTGTGTTTAAGCTGCTGAAATACTGAGGTGCTAGTCAGGAACCTTGTTAGCATGTATCAGACCCTACTGACTAATTTACACAAAGATTTTATGTTATCTTTTGCCACTTTTCCAAGACAGTAATGATAGCTTTAGCTGATGGGTAGCAGACATGTGGGTATAGCAGGAGATCCAGCTCCCCGGTCTGTTGTATCAATATATAAAAAAAAGTTTGGAAAGCTGATAAAAGCATTTCATTAATTAAGCCTTAAAACAACTGAAACCAAATCCATGTCAAGGTTCCTGCTTGACACATGTTCCTCAAAAGATATTCTCTCTTTCAACATATAGGAAGCCAAGAAAGGCATAGTTAAGGGAAGGAATATCACTTACTTAGTGATATTTTACTTATCAGCTTTTTCAACATGACAGAGAAAAGGCAAAGTTCCTTCATTTAGAAACTGGGTCTCCTCTTCACATACTCTACCAAAATACAGTCTGACCAAAAGATGTAGGAGTCTTGATAATCCATTCATCTTTTAAACCTTGCTGATGAAGATGAACAAATGTTCATCACATGGACATGGACTAGTCTAATCAGATGGACCAAAGAGGTTACTTTTCAGAACCTATTTTCATATCTAAACTGAGTCACTGCAGACCAAAACAGAGCTCATCCTTTTCTAAAATACTACTGTCTCTGTAATACTTCTAGGGTTTGACATCATTGGGAAGGCACAACGCAATTTAAGAAATGAATTGTTACACCCACCATGGCTGGAAGAGTATTTATGTCACATATCACCATGTGCCTTTCCTTTCTCACTAGTTTCGTATTCCTAGGCTTCCCTTTTGTTTCTGCAGTGCTTATAAGGAAAACTGAGGCAGAATCCAATAAGAAAGTTCTAGTCAATTGAGAAGACTTTAAAATCAGAAAGCTTCTTGCTGTCACTGGATGAGCAAGTGAGGGATCAACCACAGAAACTGGATATCCAAGATACCTCTCCTAAAAACCAGTTCCACAATTCTATTATTCGAATTTAGGATCCTAAAGAGGGGATGAGATAAAAATGTTAGTCTATCCCACTATCCAAACTTCTCTCAGAATTAAAGCATTCATAAACTGTTAAAGGTATAGCTTCTGTTAGGTGACTACTAATCAGTTAGTCCCAAAATCTGCACACAGTATCTTTTACAGCTGAGAATTTATACTTACTGACTGTAAGTATAAACACTGTGTTAAATCTCTTAATGGTTTTGCTCACACATTGTACATTTCCCTTTCAAAATAAAAATATTACACAGGCATCCTTTATCCTTCTACCCACAATATTAATAAAAATATAAAGCTTTAAAACTTTAAATCTACCAGCATTTATAAATACAATTATATTAAACAAGTTAAAATACTTTTCTTTAGCAGATATATTAAACAAGTGATACATTAACAAAACCTTCTTACCATTTATGATACTGTATCATTAAAATTAAAGAAAGATATGAAAACAGAAGAATGTTCCCATTAAAACAAAAGAATAAGGGACTGTTAAGTATGATGGATGGTCCAAGTCCGGATGCCTTGCTCTGGAAACAGAACGCTGGGTTAGGAACTCAGAGCATTTCCTGGTTAATCATTTAGACAATTAACTCTTTTCCCAGAGTTTCTTCCCTGGAACTCCTGACCCATTTAGACCTGTGATCTTGGTGACCTCACATGCCTTCGTTTCTCACAATCTTCTCTAAAAGGATCACACTGCGACTTGAAACAGATAAACTGAACTCCCCAGTGGAGCTGTACTGACTACTGTTTGAAAGTGGCAAGACAACAAATCAGCATGCCCACACAGATTATTCTCCGGCACCACACACGCAGCTGTTTGAGATGCTTCTTGATGGGAACAGAAGGCCAGGACTTTTCATTTGAAAGGGATCTGAGCAGCCAACAAACAAAAAAGAAGACTGCTAGATGTTTTGTAGTTTGTCAAGGTAAACAATCTGAACTGAACAGCTGTAGTAAATATCAAATTCCCAATTCTCAATTAACAAAATTCTCAATTAACAAAACAAAAATACTTTTTTTTCCTTAACAGAACTGAAAAAACCCCAACAGCGTGTCACGTGCAAGGCTAGTCTGCCTCCAGCTACAGCCAGTGCACAATGTCACATTTGTCGTCCATTCCTCACTCTCTTAATTCTTCCTCCTTTGGAAAGTGTTCCTGCTTGCAGGCAACATCCACCAGCAGATGAAGATCTAGAAAGAAAAACAAGGTTTGTTTACTCTGGTTCTCAAACTGTAGAGTTCAGACATACGCCTTTCAACAAGAACAAGCTGCTATGTTTCACCTGTAGAATGGGCTCTAAAATTACATTATCTCATCAGATTCTCAGTTTTTAGGGCATTTCTGTACCTCTTAAAGCACAGATGCAGCTCAGTCATTAACCCAGAGAGACTAGCAAAGTTTAAAATGTCTCTCCTTTTAGTGATGTCACTAAGCCTTTTTTCATTTCAACTGACTTTCATTGTAAGTATAAATTAAGAAAAAGTGTCAGATCAAAGTACAATAAACACACATATGAAATTCATTTCTTCAGTGTTATAAAAATAGGTTCCAGGATTATGAAGTAATGCCTTACAAAAAACAATGTTAAATTAAGTAAACACTACCTTTCCAAAGTTGATTGCCTCTATAAAATTTCCACCTATTGACTAATGCAGCTGATTCGCTTATAAAAGTGTCTATCTGAACTGTCTGTAAAAAAAATAAAGTATACCCTTCAAGGAGGTCAAGAGACAAAAAGTGGGGTCAGTAAGTATGGGAAGAAGTAAAAAACTGAACTCTCAGCTCAGGTACTAGGTTCTATAACAAAAAAAGCTAAAGCCATGTATAGAAACAGAGTTAAACAGCCTCAGTAACTAATGTGGCTTCCGGGCTTCCCAGGCGGCTCAGTGGTAAAAAAGCCGCCTGCCAATGCAGGAGCAGCAGGAGACATGGGTTCCATCCCTGGGTCGGGAAGATCCCTTGAAGAAATGAATAGCAACCCACTCCAGTATTCGTGCCTGGAGAATCCCATGGACAGAGGAGCCTGGCGGGCTACAGTCCATGGGGTCACAAAGAGTTGGACAAAACTAAGCAACTGAACAAACGTGGCTTTTAGATTCAATCTAATTAACTTACAACTTCTATAATAACATGGCTTCCCTTGTGGCTCAGCTGGTAAAGAATCCACCTGCAATGTGGGAAACCTGGGTTCGATCCCTGGGTTGGGAAGATCCCCTGGAGAAAGGAAAGGCTACTCACTCCAGTATCCTGACCTGGAGAATTCCATGGACTGTAGTCCATGAGTTCGCAAAGAGTCGGACACGACTGAGCGACTTTCATTCACTCACTCACTCAGAATAACATGACCTAGGAGCCTTTTTAAGGTTGATTTTTAAGCTTACAGTCTTGTCCTAGTAGCATTTTGGAATTAAACTAAACTACACAGAATGAATCCTTAATTTCCTACTAGACATACAGAGACTTCTGTTAGGGTATTTGTAAAACACAACTTCTGTGGGACTGATCAACACCCTGAGCAGGAGAGATGAGACAATAATTCTACCACCTTTGAGAAAATCTAGAGGACATCTGGAACAGTACTTAATTTTTGCCCTCTTTTGTAAAAGAAAGATCAATTACTAAAGAAAAGTACTAGCTCATCTGCTGAAGAAGAGTACAACCTATCCATAAAGAACAAGCAATTTCGAAATTCACTGGCAATCTGGTGGTTAGAGCGCCACGCTTTCACTTCGGGGGCATCGGTTCGATCCCTGGTTGGGGAACTAAGATCCTGCATGCTGTGCCTTGCAGCCAAAAAAATATTAGTTAAAAAAAGAAAACGTTAAGTGCAAGTCACTCAGTTGTGTCTGACTCTTTGTGACCCCATGGACTTTACATTCCATGGAATTCTCCAGGCCAGAATACTGGAGTGGGTAGCCTTTCCTTTCTTGAGGGGATTTTCCCAATCCAGGGCTCAAACCCAGGTCTCCTGCATTAAGAACAAGCAATTTATCCAAATAAGCATCTTGCAGAAGAACAGACATCAATTTATCACTTAAAATGGGCTTCTTGTATATCTAGGATCATGACAGCATTATTTACAATAGCCAAAAGATGAAGGTAATCCCGGAGTCCATCAATGGATGAATGGGAAAACGTGTGGTAGATATATACAATGGAGTATTATTTAGCCTTAAAAAGGAAGGAAATTATGACACATCTACCTGAATGAGTCTTCAACATGAATGATATACAACATGAAATAGTCACAAAAGGACAAATATTGTACAAGTCTACTCATATGAAGGAGTCAAATTCATAGAAATAAAAGTATAATGGTGGTTGCCAGGGGCTGCAGGGAAGGATGTAATGGATATGGAGTTTCAGTTTGGGAAGATGACAAAAGTTCTGGAGATGGATGGTGGTGGTGGTAGCACATAATGTGAATGTACTTAATGCCCCTGAATTGTACACTCAAAAATAGTTAAAAAGGTAAATCTTATGTTATATATGTTTTACCACAAAAATGACTTCTTTACAGTCGAAGTAACAGGGATAATGATTAGTTATATCTTAATTTATAGAACATATTTTTTTTCAAGTAACTGAAATGCAGTTTATATGGTCATCTAATTAATCCTGAGTAATAAAGAGATGACTGAAAGAACCTCTACACTAGATGACTACTAAAGCCAATGGTTTCTAAATCTTGCTGCACACTGGAATCACCTGGAGACCTTTAAAAAAAATACTGAGATCCAGGGCTACTACTCCCATACATTCTGATTTCACTGGTAGAGTGCAACCTAGGCATCAGAATTTTTAAAAGGTGATCAAAGGATACAGAATGAGTAATATGTAAGTATGATCATTCTCTAAACACTTCAACTCCACATCAGAATAAGGAAGACAGGCCATATGGTAATAGAAAATACTAAAATAAGACTTTGGAATGTGAACAGACCTAACTACAGCCCTATTCTGAAAGCAAAGTAGGAATCCTTGATAATGACAAAGGCTGTTGTTGTTGTTCAGTTGCCAAGTTGTTTCCAACTCTTTGCGATCCCATGGACTGCAGCATGCCAGGCCTCCCTCTCCCTCACCGTCTCCTGGAGTTTGCCCAAGTTCATGTCCACTGAATCGGTGACAAAGGTAAAGACTATAAAACAAGAGTTAAGACTATAAAACAACTACAGACCTCTTATGGGGAGGTAGACTGAAGAAGAACAACAAATCCTCTTTTTTTCAGTGGACAACTGTCATTTATTTAATTAAAGACCTTATCCTTTTGATAGGTTCAAATAATGAACAAGAGCACATCACAGATAGGCATGTTTAAAGTAACAACAGCTCAGTGGAAAACCAGCAAGGTCCTACTGTGTAGCCAAGCGAACTGTGCTCAAGGTTATATGTCAGCCTGGATGGGAGGGGAGTTTGGGGGAGAAGGGATACATGCACAGGTATAGGTATGGCTGAGTCCCTTTGCTGTCCACCCAAAACTATCACAACATTGTTAACTGGCAATATCCCAAAATAAGATTTTAAAAAATAAAGTACCAATAGCCGGTATGGCTCTATAATAGCCTCGGAATGAGTTATGTAGTGTGAGCAACAAACCCTCTTAGCCTTAATGACTGGAATTTGTTGTTGTCCAGTTTGCTCAGTCATGTCTGACTCTGCGACCCGGTGAACTGCAGCACGCCAGGCTTCCTGTCCTTCACCACCTCCAGGAGCTTGCTCAAACTCACGTTCATTGAGTCAGTGTTGCCATCCAACCATCTCATCCTCTGTCGTCCCCTTCTCCTCCTGCCTTCAATCTTTCCCAGCATCAGGGTTTTTTCTAATGAGTCAGCTCTTCAAATCAGGTGGCCGAAGTACTGGAGCTTCAGCATCAGTTCTTCCAATGAATATTCAGGAATGATTTTCTTTAGGATTGACCCGTTTGATCTCCTTGCAGTCCAAGAGACTCTCAAGAGTTTTCTCCAACACCACAGTTCAAAAGTATCAATTCTTTGATGCTCAGCCTTCTTTATGACCCAACTCTCACATCCATACATGACCACTGGAAAAACCACAGCTTTGACTAGACGGACCTTTGTTGGCAAAGTAAGGTCTCTGCTTTTTAATATGCTGTTTAGGTCTGTCATAGCTTTTCTTCCAAGGAGCAAGTGTCTTTTAATTTCATGAATGCATCAACATCTGCAGTGATTTTGGAGTTCAAAAAAATAAAAGTCTCCCACTGTTTCCATTGTTTCCCCATCTTTTTGCTGTGAAGTGATGGGACTGGATGCCATGATCTTTGCTTTCTGAATGTTGAGTTTTAAGCCAATTTTTCACTCTCCTCTTTCACCTTCACCAAGGGCTCTTTAGTTCTTCTTCACTTTCTGCCATAAGAGAGGTGTCATCTGCATACCTGAGGTTATCGATATTTCTCCTGGAAATCTTGTTTCCAGCTCTGCTTCATCCAGCCCAGCAATGAACATGACGTACTCTGCATATAAGTTAAACAAGCAGGGTGACAATAAACAGCCTTGATGTACTCCCTTCCCAGTTTGGAACCAGTCCATTGTTCCATGTCCAGTTCTAACTATTGCTTCTTGACCTGCATGCAGGTTTTTCAGGAGGCAGGTAAGGTGGTCTGGTATTCCCATCTCTTCAAGAATTTTCCACAGTTGGTTGTGATCCACACAGTCGAAAGCTTTAGTGTAGTCAATGAAGCAGATGTTTTTCTGGAATTCTCTTGTCTTTTTTGATGATCCAACGGATGTTGGCAATTTGATCTCCAGTTCCTCTGCTTTTTCTAAATCCAGCTTGAACATCTGGAAGTTTTCAGTTCACATACTATTGAAGCCTAGCTTGGAGAATTTTGAGCATAACTTTGCTAGTGTGTGAAATTAGCGCAATTGTGCGGTAGTCTGAATATTCTTTGTCATTGCCTTTCTTTGGGACTAGAATGAAGACTGACCTTTTCCAGTCCGGTGGCCACTGCGGAGTTTTTCAAATTTGCTGGCACACAGTCCCCAATGTGGGGCTTCCAAAGTCCCCAATTTGGCCCATAGCTTCTAATAACAAGTATCTAAACCTGATAATTTTATTAAAGTGAGCTTCCTTCATTAACAAAGCTGTCAATCAAGGAATTCAGAGCATAGAGACCAATAAAAATGCAAAAAGACAAACTAGTCTGATGCCACTAGAGGATTCTAGGACTTTA